TACATACGTTGAATGTACGTGTGCGCCGACCAACGTATATCTTCGAATATCGGGAATATACGCGTGCGAATACGCTAATGTACCCGCCGTATACCAACGATTTTGCCCAGTGTAAATTGATGTTAAATTACCGTAGTCTTACTCCAAGTATGTAGAGGTCATAGGTCAATTCTAGAAGATACTTGTGTAAGCGATATCGATATCCTAAAACCTTAAATAGCCGCGAATTCGGCTTAATTTCAAATGATCTCTGCAGTTGTGTGGTTAGGTTACCGATAAATGTGTAAAGTAAAGCACAATCGGGCATGGTTTGTACTTGCATGGAGGACTCCCCGAGTAAACGAGCTATTGAATTTTTTTTTTGTTTCATCACAAACATGGAAAAGATATACGGCAATATTTCTCTATTTTTTCTTCCTATGATGTCAATCATTTATAGTAGAAAATCGTGGCATTTTTGTACCTTTTTCAATTAATGGAAAGTTTTGAAATTTCTTATAATTTTCAAGTACAAATTGTTGATCATGTCGGCACGTAGTGGGTTTTTAGTTGTTAACGCACCGTGCAAAGTTGTTCAAATTATTGCAAAGCTGGTAGATGAATTTGTATAAATGAACTAAGTTGTTAGCATATCGAAAAGTTATAAAGTCGACAGATTTAATTAAAGTCAATTGAAAGCAGCCTATAGATGTTCACGTGAGTTGACTGTAAAATGTTAGAAAACAGCGTGCAAAGTTGGAAAAACGAAAGAAATGTTGGCGGAGTTGCTTGCATATATAACCTAAGTCATTATCATGACAACCCCGCTGTTAAATGTCGATAACATTAAGTAAATGTTCTCAGAATGCCTCATATATAAGAAGATTATCACAACAGTCACCGAAAAGACGACAACAAACTGCTTAAAAAGTTGTGAAAAGCGATTGCAAAGTTGGTAGTTTCATTAGGGATTGTTACCTGTGATATCATATTAACAAGTCCCATATTTAAAAGTTCGAAAATGTGAATAAGTATTTCGTAAATTGCTGTTAAATTACCGTAGTCTTACTCCAAGTATGTAGAGGTCATAGGTCAATTCTAGAAGATACTTGTGTAAGCGATATCGATTTTAAAACATTCAAAAACATGAAATAGCCGCCAATTCGGCTTAATTTCAAACAATCCATACTGCTATGTGGTATGGTGACCGAGCGATATTTAAAGTAAAGCACAATCGGGCATGGTTAGTACTTGCATGGGAGACTCCCTAGATAAATGAGATGTTGAACTTTTTGTTTTTTCCATCGCACATATTTGAAATACATAAGGCAACGTTCCTGCAATTTTCTCTTATCGTGATGTCAATCATTTATAGTGGGAAATCGTGGAATGTTTGTAACTTATTTTAATTTATGGAAATTTTTTAAAGTCCAATTCTATTTTTCAAGAACAAATTGTTGATGATGTCAGCACGTAGTGGAGTTCACGCTGTTAACACACCATGCACACTTGTTCAAAGTTACTGCAAAGTTGTGGAAAGTTATTGCAAAGTTGGTAGATGTATCTGTATAAATGAACTAAGTTGTTGGCATATAGGAACGCGCAGTTGTAAAGTCGACAAATTTAATAGAGCCAGTTAAAAGCAGCTTATAGATGTTCACGTGAGTTGACTGTAAAATGTTAGAAAACAGCGTTCAAAGTTGAAAAAACACGAAAGAAATGTTGGCGGAGTTGCTTGTATATATAACCTAAGTCATTATCATGACAACCCCGTAGTGAAATGTCGATAACATTAAGTAAATGTTCCGAGAATGTCCACATATAAGGAGATTATCACAACAGTCACTGAAAAGTCGACGCACATTTGTAATGTCCACAAATTTAATAAAAGCCAATTGAAAGCAGCCTATAGATGTTCCCATTAGCTGACTGGAAAATGTTAGTAAACACATGCGAAGTTGAAAAAACCGAAGCGAATATTGGCGGAGTTGCATGTATATTTATCCTAAGTCATTGTCATGACAACCCCGCAGTTAAATTTCGAAAACATTAAATATTCCGCGAATGGCTCGTATATAAGCATATTATCACAACAGTCAACCGAAAAATCGACAACAAACTGTTTACAAAGTTGTGAAAAGCGATTGCAAAGTTGGTAGTTTCATTAGGGATTGTTACCTGTGATATCATATTAACAAGTCCCATATTTAAAAGTTCGAAAATGTGAATAAGTATTTTGTAAATTGCTGTTAAATTACCGTAGTGTTACTCAAAGTATGTAGAGGTCATAGGTCAATTCTAGAAGGCAATTGTGCAAGCTATATCGTTTTTAAAACATTCAAAAACATGAAATAGCCGCCAATTCGGCTTAATTTAGTAGTACAATACAATCGGGCGTGGTCAGTACTTGCATGGGATACTCCCTGAGTAAACGAGCTGTTGAATTTGTGTTTGTTTCATCGCACATATGGAAAAGATATAAGGCAACGTTTCTGCATTCTTTCTTACCGTGATGTCAATCATTTATAGCGGAAAATCATGGAATTTTTGTAACTTTTTCAATTAATGGAAATTTTTCAAATTGCATCTAATTTTCAAGAACAAGTTGTTGATTATGTCGGCACGTATTGGGTTTTACGCTGTTAAAACAGAACACTCTAATTTATTGCAGAATACTTCTCCACCACTTTGTAAAAGAACCAAACAATTCAGAAACTATCTCTTTTACATTATTGTTGAGAACCGTGTAGTCTCCCTTTTCTCATAAAGATGTGTTGGCTAACTGTTTTCGTTCTCTAGTAGCAGTAAAAATAGCAGAACAATCGATTTTGTTTATTTAGCAGTCACATGACGTAATTAATATTGACATTAGTGTTATCATAATTTTTTGTTGCAAGGGCTACAACAACATGTAAACATTGTTAGTCATTAATCATTATAATTTTTATCAAGCTTTTTCTGTTTTGCCTACGAAAGTCTACTACATCTTTAACAAGTTCAATAGTTAAAAGTTCGAAAATATAAATGAATGTTTCGTAAATGGCTGTTAAATCACCGTAGTGTTAGTCAAAGTATGTATAAGTCATAGGTCAATTCTAGAAGATACTTGTGCAAGTGATATCGTTTTTAAAACATTCAAAACATGAAATAGCCGCCAATTCGACTTAATTTCAAATAATCCATACAGCTGTGTGGATAGGTGACCTACCAATGTTTAAGGTAAAGTACAATACAATCGGGTGTGGTTAGTACTTGCTTGCTTGGGAGACTCTCTGAGTAAACGGGCTGATGATTTATTTTTAGTTTCATCGCACATATGGAAAAGATATAAGGCAACGTTCCTGCATTCTTTCTTACCGTGATGTCAATCATTTTTGTAGCGAAAAATCATGGAATTTTTGCAACTTTCTCAATTAATGTAATTTTTTTCAAATTCCTTCTAATTTTCAAAAACAAGTCATTGATGATATCGGTACGTAATGTGTTTTACGCTGTTAATACACCATGCACAGTTGTTCAAAGTGACTGCAAAATTGTGGAAGTTGTTATATGTATTTGTATATATGACCTAAGTTGATGGCATATAGAAACGCGCAGTTGTAAAGTCGACAAATGTATAAATAAAAGTCAATTGAAAGCAGCTTATAGATGTTCACATGAGTTGACTGTAACATGTTAGAAAACAGTGTGCAAAGCTGGAAAAACGAAAAAAATTTTAGCGGAGTCATGACAATGACAACCCCGCAGTTAAATTTCAAAGATATTAAGTAAATGTTCTGGGAATGCCTCATTTATAAGCAGATTAACACAACAGCCAACCGAAAAAAAATGCTTACAAAGTTGTCAAAAGCGATTGCATAGTTGGTAGTTTCATTTTGGATTGTTACCTGTGATATCATATTAACAAGTGAATAAATGTTTCGTAAGTTGTTGTTAATTTATTGTATTGTTAGAAAACAGCGTTTATTGAAACAGTACGAATGCAGTACGCCAGTATTTTAATGAAAAGCGCTAGCACGCAGTCACCTAGTAGTTGCTGCCATCATAATCTTGTTAGGTGGTCTTTGCATTCGGCACTAAACATTTTTACAGTTATGCCTAAATAGAGTGGTTTTCATTGAGTCGGAAAATGAGATGGCAATGAAATTGCGGGATATTAAAATTTCTTAAATGTAGCAATAATGTTAATGGCTCAACGGGGGGGGGGGGATATCGACCGTTATGTGTGTTTTTTGTAAGCGTATTCAAATCAATGAAACTATGCTCCGTCATTTCTCCGATTACTGGCGCAAATATTTTAACAATACTTTTGGCTCTTTTGGTTGGTTATATACAAAAAATCGTAGAGTGCCTCACAAGCTCAAGTTGGCAAACCTGAAATATATTTAACTACCTAGTTACATTTCAATTCATTCGTATACTAGTACGTGCTACTCGTCGCGGTTCATTGCGTGTTGATCACAGCACGCTTATTCATCGTATTCGTTACTTCAGTGAATCAAATTCTGCTTCAGATTTAGTCATAATCATTTTGTCATTGGGCACTATTGTATTTCGAGCATTCTAACCGTCTTATATATAAATACACGGTGAAACGATAAATGAGATCAGTACCTTTAATTTAATATTTTTTGGGGGTAAATACAATTTTGACTAGGATTTGTAATCAGAATATCATCCGCATAGACCACATTGTTTCATCTAATTAATTCAAATTCCGATTAAATATGAACTACTCAGTTTATTAGGACGAGTAACAAATACATAATGTTTGTGAGAAGAATCTTTTTGAAACGTAGTACTACAAAAATAACTGACCAACGTATTCGATAAACCTACTTGAAATTAACGTGTACAAAACGTTCCCTCGAGATACATAACAGTTATAACAAGACAATAAATATTCAGTAGAATAACGAAAGGCTCATAGGCGCAAGTTAGTCTAATATAATGAAAGGCAAGTCTGACGATATTCCATTTACAAGACATGTGTAAACTTGATCTAACAGGCATTATAGCGTTTAACATTCGTCGTTCACTTTCAGACGTTTTAAATTATTTTTCTTTCTTAATTTCTCTGTATTGACTCTAATTATACTGAGCAATAAATCAATATTTTCACGATGTAATCTGAAATTCAGTACACATATACGGAGGTGATAGATTCCATCTAAGGTTGTTGATGACAAATACACTCTGCCATCTGATAGGATATATCTCATTAATTCGCGGCTCATCCTGTCCGACAGACTTCTGTTTCTTGCTCCAAAGTGAAACAATACCACACTGAGCACCGGCTTGGGCCCTGCGATAATTCCATCAATTTCTGACAACGAAGAAAAAGCGGGAATAAAAACCAAAGGAAACAATATTGTATTTTGTAGATATAATGACTTGTGTGCTAATGGACACATCAAATAGTCCAATAAAATAATTTGTCAAATTAAATAAAATAATTCACCAATTAAACTTATGTATACCAAAGACATTCGCGTCTATTTATATTATTGACAGTACTTGAACTGTCGGCGTTTGAAAAGACTTTCACATCAAACACAAAAAACATGCACAAATGGTACTCATTATATGCAAAATTATTCGGTATAACCATTTAATTAACCATTTTGATGTAATTGACATGGAAACGAGTTCTAATGTTATCTAACGTGATTATGTAGATTTAATTTTAGCAGATCAGCGAAAATAGCGAAATTGAAACCCAATGAAGAATTACTGTCTCGATCCTGAATTAACGGAAGCGGATATCATAAATGACGTAATCGTTTGCCGGGACGATTTTACCATCTAAGCACAATGAACTCAAACAAACTAATTGCACATCGTCCGTACTACGCGGTGATATAGATTTACAAAGGTTCACGACAATGTGAAATAGAATTAGCAATAATGTACTTGACTAGTGGTCCTGTCTATTAGTTAGCTTCATGATCGGAACAGAAAAAAAGACATTTTGCACTTATAATAAGTATCAATTGACTTGATTCATGAGAAACTATCACAAGAAACAAAACCCAAGGAAATAATTAGGTTTGAACCTCCTTGTACTCTCTGAAACATGGAATTTAGACCGTGAATTTGCATAATCGTCCAAATATATTTGACAGTGTGCTGGAAGTGCAATATAATTAGTGAACACACTCATTTCAGAAAAGGAGTCCGCCTAATAAATGACATGAACAGCATATCGAAACAAACTTGGATTTTCGTTAATTATGCGTTCGACGAAAGTTTCATTTTATTACTTGTGATGGCGTGCCGACGAAATTAAGACTCACCAAACACACATATATACATTAACTAGTCTAGTAGCGTTACTTGATAATACAGAACGATGGCCCCACAAGACCAACATATCATTAAATACAACCTGTCAGTTTATGGTGAAAATAATTTGCCAACAGCATTTTCTCCTCAAGAGCAGAAGAGAAAGTCGTCACACCAAATAGCTTCAATGTCAACCACATTTTCAATCCTCTGAAATGAAAAATAATAATCGCAATAGTACTAGTAATCTGCCGCAGATCAACCTTATTAAGTTCTATTGGTAGCGTCTATTCATTTGCAATATATTTAAACTTAATAATATAGGTTTTACGATGAGTACCCCCACTGGATGAATGTAGACAAACCATCCAAGGAATGATCATAAAAGCAATGCACACCCTGATATCCACACGATGTTGTGTATCTTACCGAAAGGGCCTTGTCAGTTCAAACGATAGATCAGACGGTGACCACTCATCTATTTCCACATCTTGAAGAATGTCATTAGAATATCCTGAAAGTTTGTGCGATTCATATAGCTTTCTGCCATTGCGAATTACAATGGCGCCAATGCCATTTGGGAGAAACAGTCCTGAAATAAAAAAAACACATGGCTGTTAATACTACAACAACATTCATCAATGTGATTAGTATTATGGGTAAATTGTTAATTTTATCATTAAACACGTTACCTTTATGTGGATCAATAATTATAGAATCTGTTCGCTCAGTGCCTTTAAACCAGTGTTTTAAACCATCGACCAAGATAAAGAATCCTCCGTAGGCGGCGTCTGCGTGTAGCCATACGTCTTGCTCTTCAGCCACGTCTGCTATTTTGTCTATGGGATCGATGGAACCTAAATTGCCTGTACCAATGCTGATTGCAATGAAGAATGGTATTAATCCAGCCTGAAAAATTGAATTATCTTGCGCTATTCGTCGTTTGTGTGAATTGCGAAGTCTTTGTTCGCCATATACAAAGTAATTAATCGTTGATTAAAATTTGTCTTCACGGTAACATTTATTTATCCAAGCAAAAAAACATGAAAAATAGTTATAAGGATAGGATAATTCAGAAATTTTTAATATCAATTAATTGATGCAAACGACACTATCGGGATGAGATTACTATTTCCGAAACACTAGATGTAACTGTATGCATTGATATATTGAATCTACATCGATATCTTAACTGGGTTGGAAAACATTTCCACACATAAATGTTACTGTTACCTTTTTGTCTGACCTTATTTGATTTTGCAGACACTTTGGGTCCATCTGCCATTCGTTTGTGAAATCAATAAATCGAAGAATGACGTCATGCATTCCTAAAATACGCATGCCTTTGTGCACACAGTTGTATGTGTCTTTTGTCAGATAGACCACCGCTCTAGAAAGAAAAAAAAAAAAACATTAATTAATAAATTGAAGACTACAACTATTGTAAATGTGTGACAATCTGTGACATATTACATCATACTAAGCCACAATATCATAGGTAAGAGTGACACAATGGCGGTTCGAATTAGAGATAAACATGGTACATTCAAATTTGTAAGACATTATTAGTGTTACAAAGTACAATCAGGTGTTAATCCAAAATCGAACACACCATAACCTATAAACTATTCAGTTAACACGATGTCACGGGGAAAGCAAGTTGGGTTAACTTAGATACGCACAGTTTTACGGTACAAGTACTGTAATCATACGTATTCCCATTTTATTTATTTCACTTAAAACAAAACGGAAACATGTATAAAATATAGCTACAAGTAGCAATTTCTGGGCCAATAAGCTAATGAATCTATGTACATAATGCTGCTATGTATATGTATGTTTGTTATCTGAGAATTCAGGGATTGTTGGTATGCTCGATCACGAATTCCTTCATCATCTATTGCACCACAAACATTCAATAACATCTTCTGCTTAAAACCTTCATGTAGAGAAGGCGGAACCATTAACTTCAAACTTGCTTTGCCTTGCTCAGAATTTCAATCCAACTTCAAGTGCGGGCAGCTAAACAGGTCAGATATCAAGATCGGCGAATTGCTTGGGTTTGTTTTTTCTATTTAATTAAATTTATTTGAATTTTACTACACACCTGCAACCCTTTGTGCTAACGGCAATAAATTTTCACATTGAGTATCAATATAAACATTAAAGCAAATACAATGGGGTTTATTTTCATTGACAAAAAACGCCAATTACATTGTTTGCCTCTTCTCTAGTATTGGCAGCACGAAACAGATTTTTTTTCACATGTCTCGACCTTTTTAGTGTTCTCTCCTACTGGGGAAGAATCATAGGTATTGTGCAGTATCTCTGGGACAGGCTTGGTTATAACATTAGGAGTCAAGAGGGGCAAATGTTTCTTCACTGCTCCCAGAATAGATTTATTCAACACCTTGAAAAGTTAATAACTCTTTGCCTGCATTTAGCTCCTTGATGGATGACTTCTGCATAGTTTTTTTGTAATTAAGTGTGCATAATTAATGGTTGTTTACTATATGGGAATGCTTTTTTTTCTTATTGGTCTCGCATTATTGTAATGTGATGGGCAGGCATAAGCGACTAGTGTATTTCTAATAAAAAAATGGTAAATTCTTGTACAACGCTTATAATAACAAAGTATTCAAGCTGATCTTCGACTCTTTGTCATGCATTTGTGTTATGGCATTGTGTTGGTTTTGTTGTCAGGTACCCACATTCCTGGCAAACAGGCTAGGGATATGTGACTCTGCAACCACTTACAGTGCAGGGGTTAGTCACCACTATGATATTACACATAACAGATGGCGCGTCGAGTAGACATTTAGGAAGCTCACACATAGCCCAGTGTTGCTAAGGACAATCATATTCGTTCAATGTATTTCATTCTTCGGGTATTAGTTGTCCTTTTTTCTAAATGTGTGTACTTTCCTTTTCTGGTCAGATGCTGATGGTGAATTAGCTCAACTTGGTTGATACACACTGTGAATACACTCATGCTGTTTCTAATATTTGTGGCAGTAATATTACAATCTTGTTAATCCCAAAGGTTATTTCCCATGATGTGTTTGATTGCATGGTTTCCACGTCCTGGATGATCACTTATGCGTTGTTGTTTATAGGTGAATTTATGAATGTGCTTTTTATTATGTGTTGTGTATTGATGCTAAAAGACCTTCAAATGTGTGACTTGGCGGTTCATGCTTCTTACATGTTGGGAGAACGTTTCTCCCTTGTTTTTTTGGTGGTTCTTCCTGGAGTGCATAATGTGACCACCTCAGATGCCAGGGAATTAGCATGCTATGCTTCTCTTGCATGCCTCACCTTTCATATTCGTTTGGCCTAAGTCCTGAGCTGTCCCTTGCAGTAACAAGAGCAATCAATGTCGCCGCACTACCACCAGAAGTTAAATTGCCAGCATGCTCCTTCGGGTAACCAAAAAGACTTGCAATCCAAGAAATTAACATGTGTTCTAGTTTAACCGCTCCTGGTGCTAAAAAATTTAATCCTGGGATAAAAACAATGAATAATATTACAGGATCGTGTTTACAGATTATCCCAGCACAAAAATATGTCAAGTAGTTTATGAGATAAGCTTCTTTATTCTTATGCAAAATATGTCATTAATATGCACGGATATCAACCAAATATAATCTAATTGCCCCAGAGATCTATGCAGATGTACATAGATTAACAAGTAGAGTTAATGCAAACGTTTCCATTCTGTATTTCATACACTACATACAGCTACAAATTATCAGACATAATTGTCAAAATATGCGTGGCCTACCTGAGAATTTATTAGTTACTCCTGCCAGTAGGTCACCAAGAGCAGATGGGAAAAGAGCACCACCTGAGACAAAAGCAAAGTAGTTTGCATGGGCTGATTCCAAACCATTCTTGAAAACATGGGTATCAAGTGCATTGACCAATTCCCCTGCAATTAAGTACACTATATATAACGTCCATGGAAAGTCATAATTATCATTATAATTTAAGGTTATGAATACTATTTAGCAGCGACTATAAGACCTCTCGCATCAAATTTACCATGTTTGTTCAGAAATAATTACTGAGCGCAAGCATGTAAGCGAATTTTGAATATTGAATCTGAAATGCATGTCTATGTCTGACTTACTCCAGTCAATCAGATGGCTAGGTTGGAATTAAGCATGTTATCTTCGACAATCATTAACATTCAATGAAATGTTATTCAACGGAAATCTTAAAAATATTGTTACCAATATTGGAGCCTTTGTCTGTGATACCATACTGAGTTATTCCATCGTCAGATGGATTGTCTTCGTGAATAGTTTTATGATTTAATCTCGAGAGATTATCAAGGAAGTTCTCGCTGTATTCAACCACACAATTAATCCATTCTTTTCTGCAAGCTGCACCAGAATCCAACCGTCGTGAATGTGTTTCCAATTCGTTCAATCTCTGTGTGTACTCCATTCGTGCTACTGCAACTACCATGTAAAACTATATTATGTGGTAGGAACCAATTATAGCACATAAAGTATATTATTATAAACATGCACTACGAGTGATTTATAATACTATATAATTAGCATAAACTTTGTGGAGACATTAATAGATTAATAGAGTTTGGATGTTTGCACAAATAAACAAGTACAGCCAAATAATTGAAAAAAACAACAATAAAAACTGCTATTTCAATGTACCTTTCATTTTCAATTCCCGACAGGCCGTACTGGACGAGACATGTTTCCATATCCAAATAAATGTAGGAAGTATTGGTATGTAAAAACAAATTAATGGTCACGCGAACAATCAATCACATCCCATCTGACAACAACTGTGGTTGGTACTTTGCAAAAAATACGACTAAATTTCTAGAAATTTTTACTCAGCAAACACAATCATTATAAGGGTCATAACGTGAGTTATTGGCATAGGTTTTTTGAACAAATGTTATTTGAACAATGGTATTAGTTATGTAGAAAAATTTCACATAAATGGAGATACATGATTGATAATTTAAACATATTACTTTAATTTGTGTGATTATGTGTACTTATTTTAGTACGTGATCACAGACATAGACAATTGTTCAAACTCATTTGCAGTAACGATCATATAAAAATGTGCATACCAATGTGTTGAACTATGGTTATATTGTTCAAACCATCTTTATAAACTGTTCAGAAAAATATTATATATACTAATTTTGATGGAAGTTGACACAATCTTAACCCACCTACAACTGAATCAAAATTATTGTTGATAATCAACGAACCAGCGTTATTCTTTGCTCATGTGTATTCTAAGTTATTTATCATTTCAGAATGACGTATTCAAGAAGTATTTATACTGACGATGATTAACGATGATTATGATTATGATTATGTTTATGATTATGATTAACGTTATATGCACAGATGTACAAATGAAACAAAAAGTTTTACGAAAAAAAAAAAAACTGTATACGTGACTTAATAAGTGAACACATACAGAAACAAAGTAGCATTAAAATAAACGACCGTACTGGTCAGTAATTTTGTGGTAATTATCGCCTTCGACGATTCTGAATGCTTAAACTAAATGGGTTGTTTGCTGTTTTTTATTTCATGGGTACTAGGGATCAAATATTTCAGGTATTAATTTGACAAAGAGGTGCTGGCTATGAACTTGACGAAATAACATACACGTTTGGTGATTTCAATACACCTATGACACATCTGGCTAATTTATTCCACTCGTTCCTGTTAGTAAAGTTGATGATAATAAGATAATTAATCGAAATGTGTATGCATAGCAAAATACGTTTGGTTGCAATATTTGCATATTTAATCAAAATTAAATTAGAAGGCTGAAAGCTTATACTGTGATGCAGATTTGTACGTCAATTCTTGATGACGTATCCAACTGTGTATGATTATATTTCACACTGAAATAATATTTACCGCATGACTAACGTGCCTAATAGAACACTCGATAACATGTTTCCAAACCACACCGACCAACTTGCAGTAGTATTAGGTTGTATCATTCTACTATAAGTGGTAACGGTCTACAAGTGCTAGTAAGTTGTCGCAATATCAATATTTTAGAGATGATGATAAAATGGTTGTAGGTGATTCTTATTTCATTTGACAACTGACAGAAGGTTAGTATTTCGGATTTTGCCCTGAGTGCTGAAAAGCTAATTGATCTCCATTTATGCGTTTAGTTTATACTTAGAAAACAATTCGAATAAAAACCACATTTCTGTAGAGAACTGTTATTTTTGTTGATATCGTTTGTACAACTAGCCTAGATATGAAATCATAATAAATAATGTTTTCTGTGTCGCATTAGTTTCTTTGTGCTAATAAAAGCAAATAAGTGTTAGTATATATTGTATTAACACAAGTGTATACACGAGCGAAGGGAATTTATAACGCACAGCTATGACGTGGAGTTAGTTTATAGTGCTCTCCAAGACGGTTCATATCGTATTCTCTAATTTAACCAGATAGAGAAATTACAATTGATCGAAATTTCTGTTCGACAATGTAACATGGAAAACACAAAACTAACTTTACTTGCTGGCCAACCAATCTAAATAGTCTTGCCGGTTGACAAATCCAAATAACTTCGAGTCAGGTTCATTTTCTGAACATATAAACATAGGTCTCACTTATGATGGTCAAATATAAATACATGACTCCATATTCACACAAGCACAAAACACAGCATGTTTCAGAACATTGTTATTTACTCATTTCACAGTTGACTAAGACATCACTAACCAATTTGATAGTATTCACTGTTTGACCAGACCCTTGCAGTATTCTTGTTGGTGACAACATAATTAATTAATTATGTGCTATCAATAAAGTCCATAGTTCTGCTTCTTGACTTCAACAATACTCGCCTTACTAGACCTCTCTCTGCTTTAACATTTCTGGCGTGAAGTTGCAATCAATATAGTTCCATTTTTTTTGTTCAAGTCAGATGATCACTATGGAAAAGAGTTGTTATTTTCTGTTAATTAAAGACGTTTTCTGCGTGAGATAGAAATAGACATTATGGATCATCACAACTACCATGACACGGACTACTTCATAATCATAATCCAACACAGACATGTAAAAGTATATAAACTTAAGGCACTTCCTGACAATGTTTTGGATTTGATTTGCATGTTTACAGACCAAAATACCACTCTTAGAAGTTTAAGAGTAAAACATACTACAAATTCCGAACTGGAAATACATGTCATGGACGCACAGCTAGTCTGCAGGTTCCACTGAATATGAATAATATAAAATGCCACACTTACTCCAGAGTTTCATGTGCTGATTTTCACCAAGTTACATATTATCAGCGTACAAAACTATCCATACACATCACTTCACAGCAGAGCAGTAATTCCAGTTACATAGTGATGCTTACTTTTTTCTATTCAATATCAGTCCCGGATATTCAGGAAGCTTCAAGTGCATTGTATCCCTTTGGGGACTGTGATGGTGTGCTTTCGTGGTCATTTTCTTGTCGGGTTAATCCTTTATGTCCGATTTTTTTTGCTTCAGTCTGATTATTCCCATCACTGATCCTGTCTTGTCCTGTATTGCTTATCTACTGCATAAACGTGTATGATGTTATCTACCTCTACATCTAAACCAGAAACAAGATTTTATAGATAGGTAGGTATCTACTATTTAAGATCTTTTATTATCTTCAAACGTTCAACTCTATTTACCATTTTTCAAATGGCGTACCAGCTAACATCTACTGTCCTACATCACACCACCTCTCTAATTAATGTAATTGGGAAGCAAATCATCTTCATTTCCAGACGTTTCGCGTTTGTGTTGAAGTCAACTGTAGTTATTTGGGTGTGTATTATATTGATGTGAGTAATAATAAAGAGACATGCTCTTAGCACATTTATTATTATATTCATGTTCAAATAGTTAGGAATAAACTTTAAGGACACACGATAACACTCTCAGTGTCAATACAAATCACTAAAAACTCGCCGCTGTGAAAAATCAAGTCGTGAAAAACATGGTGTAGCAGATCTGTGTATGTACGCCCTAACTGTCGAACAGTAATACTTTGTGGTGTTTGTATTTTGTCTTCCTACGGATTGTGTTTACCTTGCATGTTCTTTTTATCATTATATTCTGGTGTTGCGTCTTATGTAATTGTTTATGGTGTATGGAACCGCTCTTACCCGTGAATATTGACCCGTGTTTAGCCAAAACACCTGGTTCATAACGTGTACATTTTTATGATCCATAAACTAAAAAGTCACGAATAAATTTACTACGACTGAACAAAATATAATTATAGCATTGTGACTTGTGTAGCATGTGAAGATGTTTAAGCACCGTAAAATGAAGGCTATATAAAGATGGTAATCTTCGAGGCCGTGTTGTCCCAAAACAAACCAAAACTACAACCCCGACACATTTTAGCGCGCTTGCAATTTGCCAGACAGCACATCATTTATATACTTGGACGAATTCAGGTTTATGGTTTTTCGTAGCTGTGGGCGAGTGTTTGCACGTCGGAAACCAGTTGAATAGTGCGAGTTGAAGTGTATTAAACCCACGATAAAATGTAAACTCGTGTGTTTCAGTATTGCCAACATTGAAATGTGCATACGCAATATTCAGAAATTTAAATTGGTTAAAGATGATTTGAAGATAAACAGATTCAGTCCGTACTGACAAGCATGTCGGCTTAGCGTTAGGTTACTCACTAGATGTTGTGCGACACATGTCACTACGAGTATTGACAAACTGAATAGAATGTTTCCCTGTCACCATGGCAGTTAGTCATCGTAAGTACTTACTAGCATGGCCCGATTACCACAAAATAGACAAATATCTAACAATGTCGGGGCTTTCATATAATATTTTTGAAATATTATTACTCATAAGTAATAGCCGTTTACATTTGTGACGTATTCTGCCTCAACCTCTCCGCGCACAGAAATGTGGTTCACCTATGCCTAATAACGATTTGGATATTGCGATAGCTCCAAATGTAATATTTCTTAACTCACAAAACAGTGAAATAAAATATGAATAATTGTACCTCGGCCTGATAAAGGAACAGTGAAAAACATGTTGGCAATCACTGTGGCTAGTTACTGATTTGAGAAAAATATTTCGAACAATTGGCTATGTTACAAAAAATCGTTTTGCATAATGCAGTTATGGTTTAACAGCAGTTATGTTTTATGTAGTATCCCTTAATTTTTACATAGAATTTGTATTGTATTTTGCAAATGATTCAATATCTTACTATCCAAACCATAGAAAACGCAGTTAAGCTATATTGTACTCAGAATAGTATCCAAGAAGTGAGTATACGACAATATTTCGACCAGTTTCATGATATATATATTTATTTTAGGTCGACTTGTCAAAATCGAATGGAACACTCGCCATTTGAGGTGCTGCTTATAATTATGCTAATTTTATTTAAAAGGCAAT